TGAAGCATTTATTTATTACCTACATTTTTCATTTCCAATTTTAACCTTGCTTGTACCACTAAGTAACCTCTCCTAGTGGCTGCTTATTAATTTTTTATATTACCTTACTATCTGAACTTTCAAGTGGTTAGAAATATACAGATATTCCTGATGTTAAAGATGGTGTGTACCCTCTATGGTTTTGTACATAATAATGTACATAACAATGACAATTACTTTCTAATTTTTATCTCATTATTTGATAATTGATAACATGATTTTTATTTCACATTAAGCAGTATGATAATTATACAAGTATAGACTATACAAGTGGCATGATACATTTGGACTTTTGTCTGTTGACAGGTTACTTAGTTGGATAGGTGGTTAATGTGAATATAACATACATATTGTGAGTTTAGTAAGCATGAGTTTTGCTTCAAATCTTGGTCAGATTCAGTTCATAGGTCAAACTGATATATTACATCTGTTAAAGAACCTAAGTTATTATGGTGAATTCCCTCTGTGCAGAAAATATATTCTTGGTGAAGAGCTCTTGCTGCAGATCACTTGGAGAGACTTAAGACTTCAAATTTGTACATTTATAGAAGCAAAATGTGGACAGTAGTTTTTAATTTTAATAAGGTCTCCTGTTAATCAATAAACAAGTGATCATTATTAAAATAAGATTCTTGATCTTGTCTAAGAAAGATTTTTTATAGGAGCTGAAATACCATTATGTTCTACTTTTAATAACTACTGCCATATGTAGAGGTAGACCGTTTTCTTTGATTTCTCTTGCTATTATTTTCACCTTTATACTATTTTGAGTCTCTTAGCAGATTTTTTTAAATCAAGTGAGATATTTTCACATCTAACAGGAAACAATCACTACCAAATATAAACACTGTCCTAGCAGACCTGATCCCATTTCTAGCATCTCAGGTCATCTGCGGAGATATCTTTGGCAACCTCACTTTTTAAAAAATGAACACGATGGTGAATTTGAAATATACATTTGACCCTTGAACAACATGGGTCTGAACTGTACAGGTCCATTAATATGTAGATTTTTATTTTAATTTTTTTGAGATTTGCTATAACTAAAAAAAAACCTCATAGATAAACTGAATAAGCCTAGAAGTATTCAAAAAATTAAGAAAAAGTTCAGTGTATGTCTTGAATGTATTAAATATATGCAATAACCATCTATTTTATAATCATTTATTACCACAAATCTATAATAAAAAGTTTCAATTTATCAGAACTTAAAACACAGACCTCACATAGTATAATTTGCAGTTAAGACAAATGTAAACAAATGTAAAATTGCACAATTAAATAATAACTGCATGAAGTTAACTACAGAACATACTGTGCTATTGTCATAATTTCCTTATCACTTCCTATTGGTATTTGGTAAACTTCGGAACTGAATGAGGCCACCTAAAATGTTGTTTATTGCTCATCATCTCTGTGTGAGTGAGTAATCTACATATCACAGTAAAAATTTGCTTCCCATGGTTCATGGTATTTTTCACTGTAATACACATAACATACAAAGTATGTGTTAATTGGCTGTTTATGTTCTAGGTAAGGCTTCTGATAAGCAGCAGACTTTTAGTAGCTAAGTTTTTGGGGATTGGTAGTAGGAACGGAAGGCGGATCCCAGAGAGGCTGGGCAGCTCCATTGTCACCATTGTCCAAGTCACTATCCACAACCACCTTCCACAGTCACCATTTCAGTACCCTCTTTCCAGTGCTACAGATACCAAGACCAGTACCATGGAGAGTAGTGTTGGGTGCTGTGGCCTGGATGGCCTCACATGGCAAGGCAGCTCCTGCTGCAGGAGGGGACAAGAAGGTCATCACAAAGAGCATGTTGGGAGCAGTAAAATGTTTCCATGTAAGTGAATTATATGGATGGTTTCATCATTAGGAATGACATTCCGGAAGATGTACACCAACCTGCTGCAGAGAATTGCCCCAGGAAATACTATCACAGTGTTGGAGATGGACAGACTACTGTAAAAGGAGAAAAGCTGTGGAGGCAGTACATGTTAGAGGTCACGATGGAGTTCCAATTCAAGGAAGTAAATAAGCAGCATATGGTAACTACTATAGACTATCCACATTGTATTGGTTATCTTTGCAAATGCTAGAAGAATTACCAGAACAGTGAGATTAAAGGAAGAGAAAGAGGGAGCAGAGAGAGAAGATCAGGCCTGACAATACCGGCTGCATCCCAGGTGAAGGTTCCCATCTTACTACTTGTGGAGAGCCTTTGGGCATTGACTACAGTATTGCAATCCTCCTGTGAAGGAAGAAGTGATGGTGGGAGCTGACAACCACGGTGGGGGAAGGAGGTAGACCAGTGGCAGCATATATACCAGGGTTATAGACTACAATTCAGTAGTGGCCATCTTACCAAGTACAGCCTAGAGAGGAGGGCAATAAAGAGAATAAGGAAAATCAAGATCAGAAGACACCTCAACATCGGGACCACTGCAACTTCAATGATTTATACAGATGTTCAAAAAACCTTACACCGTAATATGGTAAGAAGACAAAAACTGCTGATCTACCAGTCAGGAGTGGGTTGACTCCTAAGGCTGAGCAGGGTAAGTCCAAGAAAATACCATCTCTGTCACCTCCCAGCTATCCAACAAGAATATGAAATTCCAGCAATAAGAAATGAGCGAAAGATTGGAGCTCTAAACCTTAAGTTCTTGCTTTTTGCCTGCTGACAAGTTACTAGTACTATCTTCATTATCTATGCAACATGAGGATTTTATTATTTTTACTTAAGGGTTGTTTCTTTTTGGTAATGACAAACATTTTTTTAAAGGCTATTTTTTTCTCCTTAATATACCTTTAAAGTTTTAAAAATTGTTCCATTCATATGTGGTTAAGGTAAGATCTTTTAAGAACTTCATTTTTAAATTATAGTAATAGTTTACAACTCGATTTTTTCAAAGAAAATCAACAAAATGCAAGTACTTATTAGTAAAGCTTTAAAATAATTGGAAAAAATGTTATATGCAGACTTTTAACTGAGGAGGTTGGCCAGTGCCCCAACCCTGCGTTATTCAGAGGTCAACAGTATTTAAATCTTTTATTAATTGTATTTTTTTGTTCTCCTTCATTTGTCTTCTGCATTTACCATGATAGCTCTTAAGGCTTTCTCCTGTATTTCTATAAGATAGCTCTTGGGGTTTATTAGACAATCCCAGAATGTGTGTGTGTGTGTGTGTGTGTGTGTGTGTGTGTGTGTGTTTTACATTTGTGTTTGCATTTCTGTACTGTCTGCATTTCTGCAAAGAGTGAGTTTTGATTTTTTTTTTTTTTTGGCCTATCAAGAGACCTTGTGTTTGCAGCTCTTTCCTGAGCTGAAGAGAAGTTATACTTGGATTTAAGGTCTTGTAATCAAGCAAAGTCTTGAAGCATTCCAGCTGATGTGGGTTCTATCAGCTTGACCTTTATATGAATTCCTGGAGAAAATGATGAGATACTGCACTGCCTTTCACTCTCAAGTAATTGAAAGCCCCAAATGGGAATAAAGAACTGGGGAGATATAAGGCACACATTCCCTGAACATCTAAGTGCACAATTTTCTTGTCATTACAATATATCATTCTGTACTTCATGCTGCCAAAATCCACATTTCTTGATCTCTCTTCAGTCTTTTTGATTGGTCATCAATAAGCAAAAGGGAAAAACTTCCTTGCATTTCCATAGCCAGAGCTGAGATTCTTTTTACATCTGGCATTGTCTTTGAAAACAAAATAATGAATTCAAGCACTATAGTGTCTTGAATCCCAAACATTTCTGTAAATTTCCTTCCTTGCCTCATTCAAAGCACTCGTATCATATGTCAATTGTGCCACAATAAGGAGTCTAAGTGGAATTTTCCTCTATATTTCCTTCACTGTTTGTGCCTGCTTTTTTTTTTCTGATTCATCTACTATTGTTAAAGTTTGTTTTATTTCTGAGATTGAATTCTCAACCTTATAAAGAGGAGGTGGACTCATACTTATTTTCCTTCATTCTCTTTTGAGAGTGGTAACAACATGTATTTTTTTTAGCTGTGATAAGCTTGGCATTGAGTTCTAAATGGCAGATGAGTTGTTGTTTTCTAATTGCATTATATCCAGTAGCTATCTAGTTTTGTCTTCAGCAGGAGAACTAAAAAACAAAAAAACTATACTTTTGCAAGTAATATCAGGTCTATTTATTGAGAGTTTACTTTTTGCTATAAAACTGTGGAAACTGACATTTTATTGACATGCAGATTAAGTTCACAGAATATACTTTATTATGTCTCTAATTGTATACATCTAGTTGTATACAAAGAACTGATGTGTATAAGCCAAATCCTTACCAAAAAAAGGCCTCTTGCAATCTAATTGGATTAATGCACAAAATGATTAAAAAAGCTAATAAAATCAATAATACTATTTTAAAAGAGTCAAGGTAAAGGAGAGAACTCACATGTGATACATTGTGCAAGATTAGCTCTGCCTTTACCATATGTGGAAGATAAGATTACAGATATGCAATTTTGATTTTATGAAACCATAGTGCTTTAAAATTCCAGATGGTCTATGAGAGAGAAAAGGAGATAAGTGTAAGTTGAGCATTAAAAGAGCTTGGGCTTAGGGCTGGCCACAGGGACTGAAGAGACTGCAGAGCTGCAGAGTACTAGGAGAGGCAAACACAGAGATGCAGCAGGTAAAGTGCAGGTGTAGGTTCTGCAAGAGAAGATGAGCTGGTATATCCAGGATGGCTACTACAATCCTGGGGATAGGTTGAACCCAAGTTAATCTTCCTTCAAGTCCAGCCTACTCATTCTATTGTAAGTGGTGGAGCAAACAGAGCATGTGTTTTGGTATTAGAGATTTGAGTTTCTATCATAGCTCAGTCCTTTATTTGTGTGAGTTGTGTTTTCTCAGCTGTTGTGTCCATTTGCTGAGAAAAAGATAACTGACAAGAACAATTTAGGGGAGAAAGTGTGTGACTCACAGTTTCAGATGTTTCTATCCATGATCAGCTGGCTCCAAGGCAGAAACTTCATGGTGGAAAGGCTTGACACAGGAAAGCTGCTCAACTCAAGGCAACTAGGAATGAGAGAAAGAACAAGAGAATGGGAGAGAGAAAGGGGGGTAGGACAAGAAGCAAATGGAGGCAAGATGAACACCTTCCAAGGCTCCCCTTCAGTGACCTGCTTCCTCCAGTGAGGTCCCACCTCCCAGTAGTCCATTCAATCATCAAAGGATTACTTCACTAAAGATGTCAGCACCTTTTTGATTCAATCAGTGCCTAAAAGCCCCACCTCAGAATCTTGCTGTGTTGAAGACCATGCTTTCAGCACATGAGTATGTATATACATACATATGTGTGTGTGTGTGTGTGTGTGTGTGTGTGTGTGTGTGTAGTTGTCAAAGGATCTTTTATTTACTTATATGTGATGCTGAGGATCAAGCCAAGGGCCTCACATATGCCAGGCAAGTGCTCTACAACTGAGCCACATCTCCAGCCCTAGCACATGAGTTTTTGAGGGACATTTGAGATCCAATCTATACCAGCTATGATACTGGGTGAAGCTACTTTGTTGTAATATCATAAAGACTAGGGCCCATGAATGAATATCAGATATGCAGAGGATTCTTACTAAGTGGTGGCTATAATGCATGCCATACCTAAGTCAAAGAAACTGGATAGTGTACATTCTAGATTTACCTTTGTAAGCGAATCCTTAATGAAGCTTTTTGTGTTTTAATATTTTTGTTCTTTAGTATATTTTTAGTATATCTTAGTATTTTTTCTTGCTATTGCTTTATTGATAATGTTATAATGAAAACAAGAATTAATATCTTTGTGTAGGTGAAATAAAGGGAAAAACTGTTGTCAAAACCAACAAGTGGAACCATTATAATCAGATGTTGGGGGGCAGTATATCAACTGTCTAACTAGAAAATTAGGAATGAAGGGAAGGTCCAGGAACATAAATGCAAAAATGGTAGAGTGAGGCAGGTTGTGATTTCCAATCCATCTTCACTCAGGCTATTCCCTTAGTTTTTATTTTTGTTTTTCTCTGTTATCCTTTGTAGCTTGGGAAATCAGTGAGGTTAGTTGGTCTTGTCCTTGAGAATTCTAGAAATTATAGTTACCCAGGTCATTGAATATTAGATATTCTCAACCAATGTTAAACCAAGTGGTGTGAGGACAGAGTAGGGCATATTTGGAGTCAGTGATGTGGGGAGAAAAGGGAGGGCAGGAAACAAGGTCTAAAGCAGCAATTCTTCATTCTGGCTATCATAAGCGCCCATGGTCCTTGAGAAATAATCTAAATCTGGGGCCCCAAATTCAGAAGTTCTCCTATCATAAGACTGGAGGGGGCATGGATATTGACATTTCCCAAAAGCTTCCTGAGTGAGTTTAAAGAACAGCCAAGACTAAGGATCATTAGTCTAATGCAGGATAAAGGTCTCAGGAAAATGTTTTCCATATGTATTAGAAAGCCAATGTTAAAACCTTCAGGGCCTTACACACACACACACACACACACACACACACACACACACACACACACATATTCTTCAATTAAAAATCTAATCCTCATGTTTCAGATCTTTGTAAAATGGCATGGGGTGGACAAGCTATGGAAGTAGATATGATTTTCTAGAGACATAAGAAAATATGCATTGCACTTTTTAGACCAATTCAATTATTGAAAATTTAGAGTTGGTAGGGAGTTAGATGTCAGTGTATTCTGTATGAAGGTAATGAGTTTTTCAATATCCATGATGAGTGGGAAACTGATAGATACAGCAAAGAATAAAGCAAGAAGAACCTAAGGGCTCAGCCCACACTAGTTCGAGTTAGGAAAAAAAAACAAGTCTTTGATAGTGGTCATGTTCAATTGGGTAACCCCAAAAGACTGCAAAAGACTTCCTTGCCCTTCTGAGGAAGTGGGATATTGGATTGTCTGTACTAAGTCAGAGGAATTAGGCTGTTGACCAGGAACAAAGTAGGATTATCAACACTAAAGGAAGATAAGCAATTGACACTGAACTGTATATGAAATAGGGAATCTGAGATATTAGTTAGTAAATTCTCAGAAATGCGGCAATAGTAGTAAATAATAATGCTATAGCAGGTATTATAATTATTTGGACGCTAGTAGGCATGAGAGATTAAGATGTCAGTTCCTAGCTGTTAGACTGAGATTACAGAAAGATCCTTATGAGTCTGCAAGCTGAATATTTAAAAATTCTTCAATAGAGATAATAAAGAGGGAGTTTGAAAATATTGAATATACCTGTGAGTCAATAGTCAATGATCCAAACAGAACCCAAAAGGGTATATTCAGAGTTAAAGAACAATATCTTAAACAGTGCTAAACAAATGAAATTTAGCAATTGTATTTCAGGTAGCATAAATGCTTGCAGTACTGTGGTAATATAATATATTCATATTCTTATGATTATAGCACTTTCACCATTGTTTAGTTCATTCCTTCATATACTTGGAGCACCTATTATGTTATAGGCATTGATTCATCCCTGTTATAGATAGTAAAATGCCCTTTCCTCCTTTCTTTTTTAAAAAATTTAATTAGAAACAATATGTTGATGTCAGTATCTGATCATCTGCTCTTATGTTTTTTCAACCATTATTTGTTACCTATTAGTTTTTAAATAAAGTCAAATATATATGCTGAGAGGTAGCGTAGTCTTTGTGCCAAGTGGAACATACTTTAAAAATTCACTCCCTAAGACTTCATGTGAGTCAGGGAAAGTGATTTGTCTTCCCTTTCCAGGTATGGTTGTCTAGGAGCTTCATTTTGGCTTTGAGTAATTGTAGACATTCAGTACTTTTACTAATTCTTCTCCTTCCCTTCCTACACTAACCTTGAAACCCCAGTGTCTCCATGGTTTGTTTTTTTCTGGTCTGAATTATGCATTGTGCTATTATCTTTCCCTTGTTCTGGTTTTCTTGGGGTTGACATATCATCTTCTAGTAGTCCCAAATTAATGTTAAGTGAGTATTTGACACTTTTAGAATTTGGTACTGTGTTTAAATTGGAGCAGTACCTTTATTCAAAAGCTATGGATGGCAACCTTCAAGTGAGTCTTTGTGAATCAGAACAACCCATGAAACAAATGAGTTCATATTGTGTATGTTTGTGTGATTCAGTGCCAATGCCATAAAATATATTTCAGCAATGATGCTATATGTTTTTATCTCTTTAACTCTAATTAGAAAATGATGACTTTCAACTCAAAATTTACCTCAAAAGAAGTGGCTTTTCTATAACCTGGGATTCTTAGAATAATGGGAAACAATAATTATAGCAATGAATACAAATAGGCAAAATTAACATTTATAGCACTTACCATGAACCAACATGTTTTATCTGGTTTAATTATCATGAAATGAGAAATGAAGCATATGTTATTTAAGGTAAGTAATAGTCCTGAGGTTATATAGCTAGTAAGTAGAACTGTGATATAGGCACATAAGCTGGAAAACCACTAAGGGTCCCTACATTCAATATTGTACAAATAAGAAGGAAAACTCTTCTTTTGGGAATATAATTCATAATCCTTGAGTTAGCAATTTATCTATAAATAAAAACTTGAACAAGGGAAAGATTTCTAATCTACAATTTCATGTTGTAAATATTTATTATACCTTGCTTTATATTCTTAATGTAACAGAGACCTACAAACTCGGATGGAGGTATATTCTTACACAATTCAGCAGGGTGTTTGTCTTCAGTGGTACAGATAATGAATGTAATATGCTTAATATTTGGGATGTAGATTTCCTGGAGATATAATTTCCTTAATAAAGTTACTATTTGAAATGGGGGACTAGATATTTTCTTATAGATATTGAGAAATAAATATTCTGCATGATTACATTCCCTATATATAAACTCTCTACAATAATGTATATTTGAGAATCTCAAGATTCCAGCAAGAAGATTCTGAGACTTACCTAAAGGAAATTTTACAATTCTGCTAAGGTAATCTTCTTTGAAAGAAGGGTCACTTTTATGTTAATTAACATTAGGCATGGGGGCTGGGGATGTGGCTCAAGCGGTAGCACGGTCGCCGGGCATGCATTCGGCCTGGGTTCGATCCTCAGCACCACATACCAACAAAGATGTTGTATCCGCTGAGAACCAAATAATAAATATTAAAAAAATTCTCTCTCTCTCTCTCTCTCTCCTCTCTCACTCTCTCTTTAAAAAAAAAAAAAAAAAAAAACATTAGGCATGTTTTATTTTATTTGCTTTAGTGATTTGAAAACTGTTGTCACAAATTTATTTAATATAACTGCTGCTGAGGCATCCAGTTTTAGGCCTGAAATTAGTTGTCTGAAAGCCAGTACACTCCATCATCTTTGGCTTAGTTACCATTTTCCTGCATGGTGTGGCTGTGGGGTTGTTTGCCATAAATTGCTTATTTCTTCTTATGATGGAAAACCCAATACCCCACAGCTGTAGACCCCAGTAAAACCCAAGGTCAATTCAGAGTCCACAGAACACAATAAATGCATGTGTGTTTTATATAAGCCAAATCTCAAGTTCAGGAGAGAGCCTTATGGATAATGCCTGTGGATCTTAACAAAGTCACAGTCTTGTAGCCTCTCTCTGTTCTTTCTTTTCATCACCCACTGACTGAGCACCCAGTCACTCAGATCTCTCATAAAGCTCTTGTTGGCACCCTTAACTTCTCTGGGATCTGTAAGTGATACATTTTTTTCTGTCTCACACACTTTAGTTATACCTCCTCACTCTATGTCACCGGACTGAACCTAACTTTCCCCTGTCTGGGCTCTCCTACATAGTTGTTACATTGGCTATGGTTGTTATCCACAGAAAAATTTCATGACTAAATTAGAAAGAAGCTATAACAATAAAAATCATGATGGTATTTTATTTTGCAATTTGAGTTTTGTTCAGACTTTAAGTGACTTATGACTGATAGAGCATATAAATTATAGGTTATATATATTATGCATTATATTATATAAAATTATTAATTCATAGTGGTCTAATGACAGAACATGAGATCAAGGGATAAAAGAAATAGCGAGGCTCAGTAAAGGCTGTGTACAGATAGCATGGGTACTTGTTGGGTATTACTGAAATAACAAAAGCTATGGGGTCCACACCAGTGCAATACCAAAAATTTAGTAATTCTTAGAATAAGGTGGTACATTAATGAGTACATTTATCTAACTGTATTCGTGTTCCAAATTCCTTAAACTAAAGGGAATAACTGGGTATTAATACTTCAACATACTAATAAATAAAAATGGATTTATAATTGTATCAGATATTTTAAGAATTCTTGAAAGGCAGAAATTAGCTTGAATTAGAACAAAGGAGAACAAAATCATTTAAGAAAACCGTAGGAGGAAACTGCTCCAAGGAGTGATTAATTTTAGGGGAATAGCTTTCTCAGAGTGAATACATGGTATAGAAGTGATGCTGGAAGAATTCTAATGATGAATAACTGTGGAACTGCATGTAGAGCAGTTAGGTGTGCTGATTCTTCCAAAGGGGTTTGCACTGCAATGGAATCAATGGATATTTGTACTAGATTCAGGGAGTTATAGGATGGCAATGAAGAGCCACTGACCCACAAAAGTTAAAAACCTCCCTTTCTCCAGACAAAAGAAGATATATCAACCTGTCCAGTGCATAATATCATGTTGCTTTCCCCAAATCATCAAGAACATAGTATAATAAACAAAACCCCATCTATGCAATTCTGATGGGGTATTGTAGGTGCAAAGGTAAATAGGAGCTCAACAAGAACCAAGGTTTGATTGAATCCCAAACAATGAAATGATGAGATAAAAATCAATGAAGAAGAATATAAATTATTGTTTATAGATTGCAGTGCATAGACAAAAGGTTTTAAAAACAATCTAAAATCAAGATAGAAAGAATAAATCAGGATGCCCAAACATGTACTAAGTAAGGTATCTGGAATTTTGTGGTTTAGGTATGAGGTGGCCTCCAGAAGCTAATGTGTGAGACAATGCAAGAAGGTTTAGAGGTGAAATCATTGGGTTATAAAATCCTTAACCTAATAAGTGCATTAATCCCCTAATAGGGTTTAAGTGGGTGGTAACTGTAGGCAGATAGGGTATGGCTAGAGGAAGTGGGTCACTGGAAGGCATACTCTTGGAAAATATACTTTATAACTGGTGAGTAGGGTCTCTCTTCTCTCTCTCTGCTTACTGGTGTCATCCTTAGCTGTCTTTGTCTTATAAGTGATGACTTCATGGTAAAGTATAGCTATCAAAGACTCACAGAAAATACAATGCTGGTGAGAGATTAGAAACACCTTCAATAAGGTCAAGAACAAGTTGAAGATGACAATTATCATAACTACTATTCAGTGTTCATTTGGTTTAGAACAATCTAAAATGACCAAATTAACTAAAAAGTTACTCAGGAATCTCTCTGTACATTCCACTTAATTTTTCTGTAAACCTAAATCTTCTTTTAAGTAGTCCTTGGAGAATGCCACAGTCTGGCTGGGCACAAAATATCCAAGCCACCACAAAGCCTTGTAGGTTCAAACAGCGACTCTTTATTCCCGAACTCTCACTGACACTCTACCCATACTTCCCGTGAACACCCTGCCTCTACCTGGCTCAGTGCACCAATTCTCTCAGAACCTCCATGAGAACTCAAGGGGAACTCCCAAGGAGTGGGAGCCTGAGGCAGCAGGATATACCCTAATCCTGGAGCCGCCCTATTCCCAGCAGGATCCACCCTAAACCCAGAGCCACCCTAATCCCTGAGCAGGGTCACCTTTCAACCCAAAATGCCATGCATCATTCCTACTTGGCTATGGCTTTCAGCAGGAGAAATACATGTATTAGTCATTGCTAAATGACCAGTGACTGGTACTTCTATTAATTCAAATTATTAGCAACTTTAAGTATTGTCAGTCAATTCTGGACAATTTTGTATGTGTGATGTTACCTCATTGTGGTTTCATTTTGTGTTTCCCTGGCCACTGGAGTTACAGAAATTTCAGTATATCTGACCACAATCTGTTTTATTTTAATGACATGCTTTTAAGCATCTTGACTACTTATAATTTTGTATTACCTATATTTTTTTACTTATTAGTTTATGTAGTTCTTTATTAATATTCATGATATAAAGTCTTTATTGATTATATATATTGCAAACATATGCCTTTCCCTAAGGTGTGTCTTTATAATCTCTTAATGTTATTTAACAAATAAGAGTTCTAAATTTTAATGTAGACAAATGTATTAATCTATTCTTTTGTAATTAGTATAGCTTGGGTCTTGTTTAAGAAATATCAATTTATTGCAAAGTCATAAAGATATTCTCCAATTTTCTCATTACAGATATCACTGTGTAACTTCTCACATTTACATTTGTAGCCCACCCAGAATTCATTTCCTGAAGGTGTAAGGAAGGGTTAAGTTTCATTTTAACATGCAAATCCAGCAACTCAAGGTGATGTACTAAAAGATGAACCTTATGCACTGCTTGAGGAAGCTGTCTTTGCTATCAGTGAAAGATTCACATCTTCACTAGAGAGATTCTGTGCTGGGAACATTCTGTGCTCTCAGTTCCATTTCATTGGTCTATTTATCTTTCTCTCTTCCATACCATGTTCTGAATTGCTGAAGCTTTAAATTGCTTTAACAACTGTAGTATAAACCTTTTCACTTTGTTCTTCTTTCCTAAGATTGTATTGGTAATATTTTTTGCCCTTTGCATTTCCATACACATTTTGGAATAATTTTGTAATTTCCTTTATCAAATCTCTTGATGTTTTGATTGGAATTGTGTTAAACCTATTGGGGAGATTTGATATGTTTATGACACTGAATTGTCTAATCACTGAACATGTATACTGCTACTTTATTTAGGTTCTGAGTTTCAGTTGATAATTTTTATATTTTGTTGGTAGAGATTTTATGCCAATTGTAAAAGATTTGTTAATTGGAATTGAATGCTTTTAATGCAACCACACATATCTTCAAAAAACAAAATTTTCTTTTTGTGTGTGTGTATGTATATGGAAAATATATAGTTGTATAAATGTGTATTTTTATTTGTTGAATTCAAAGATCTATATATCTAATTATTCATAATTTTTGAAGGAATACTTATACACATTTTATATATTGAGTGCTATGAGGATGTTAAGTCCATACCCTTTATAGAATCTTGTTTTACTTTTTATAAATAAGTAACTTATTTGTTCATTCATTTGTTTAGCTATCGTGTCTCTGTACCCAGGGTTATATTCTGTCCCTACATGGACAATAGAATCCCAGTTTGAGTGAGCTAATTCCAGGAAGCCAATAGGTGCCAAAATGGGGCCTATTCACACTCTTAGAGCTTTAGGTTTAGGTTCCTTTTTAGTTTATTGGATTTAGTTTATTGTCATTTATTTTATTTGGTCTTGGCTGTGTATTAACATTTGTTACATTGTATCAGCATGCCTTTTATTTAAAATAGTGTATAGAATTGTGTCTATTCACATCTACCACCTTACCAGCTGTGTTCTGCAATTATATATTCAACAACTGTTTTTGTCTTTGTGTTTCTAAATGTTTAGATAACATTTTTAGGAGAAAAGAAAAAAAAACCTATAAGATTACAATCTACTGTTCCTTATCTATATTGTATTCACTAAACCACATTCCATTGTCAGTAACTATTATTTTATTAATTAAAGTTAAAGATGAGTTTTTTCTTTGTAAGTATGCTGTCAATCTAATTTAACTCAAAAGTGCAGTGTCAAATACATCAAATGGTGACATTTTCCATAATAGAACTAATGTCTGTGTTGTATATTTTTCTTTGCCTGTATTTGCAATGTAAAGTAGTTTCTAAGAAAGGGGACCAAACCAATTCTTCAGGCCTGTTTTATTTAGCTAGGTGCTTTTTTGTTCTTTGATAAGTATAATAAATTTGTGTGGGCAGAAATTGATTTTGTTCTTCATAATTTCAATTTTAGAAAAATCAGGATTATATACCAAACATCCTAGTTTTGTTCACAACCTATTATAAGTTTATCATCCAGAGATTTATAGAAGTTATATTTTTGGCTTGTTGCACCAGTTGGGGGACCAAGTGTCATGTGCTTACTGCCTGCTGTGTAAATTAGCACTTCATTTTGTTGTTTTATAAGTATGGCTTTTAGGCTACCTTGGGTGTCCTTTAGTTCTGCTATTACAGAATTTGGTGAATTATATTATAATGGAGGAACATGATTTTTCAGATTCTGACTATGCGAAGAAACTGCCATATAACTGTTCAAAAATGTTATTATATTGCATTTAAGTCTATATTTAAATTGCTGTAAAAAAATTGTGACTACTTTGGAACCTTTATTTTCAGTCAGAAAACATCCAGTTTTGCAAACCAAAAGCAAATTAGCCTGAGAGCTATAGAAGAAGAGGAACTATTTTGATTATGAAATACCTTTACTGAACCAAGGTGGGAAAGAAGCAGGATCAAAGGGAGAAGAGCAAGAAGAGGTGACTATGGCATTCAGTTAGAAGCAATAGACTTCTTCTTGTTCTCTGACACGATAATCCCAAGGGGTCAAACCTGTAATGAAATAATAATAATGATAATGATCTCTATTTACTTAGCATTTGTTCTTTCACCACAACTGTTCCACAAATCTTACAGTTGATCAGATTGACCTATTTATTCTAGCATCCTGAACATTGAATATTTCCTGAGGAAATATCTCACTTTTCGAGTATTTTATGCCACCTCACACTATTATCTCTGACCTTGGTTGACTCTCAGTGCCATCTAACTGCTTAACTGCTGTCCACTGCGAGTTCTGCCCACATTTCTTGCTACAGTCTGCTCTGACTCCTGTTTTCAGATTATGGCTCCTCCTTGGAGACAGGCAGTTCTGCTCTGCTACTTCAGATTTTGTCTCTGTTCTTCTATTCCTTTCTCCTCCTGTCTGGACTCTGTTTAATATGCATTCTTATTCCAGTTCAAAATATCATCTCTTGGAATGATGCCTCATGCAAATTTTACTTACAGAAAACCATCACCTCCCTCCTGCTCCCTTCCTTCCATAACCAATTTAGATTCCATATTCCACTTTTAGAATTGCCTCCTTATGGATACTCTCAATAATTTCCCCTCTCCATCCTCCTGTCATAAGCACTTGTAAAAGCTATAACTTTGTTGGTTGCAACTATATATGTTTTTTCATGCCTATGACAGAACGACTGAATTTTCTGAGGGGAAAAAAAAATGACCAACCTGGAATAACTGGTTTTACTTTAGTTTCCACAAACCTGAATAGCACTTAATTTCCAGCAGTATTTTTTTAGGTTTCCATGGTAAACTGGCTTTACATTCTTTGAAAAAAAATAATTTAAAAAAATTCCCTTCCCTTTTCATGTTCCCCCACGTTATATATCTTCCACATTCTAAGCTGATAGCCTTTTTCCTACCTCCTTCATCCAATAAAAGCCGATAGCAATTGCTTTATTCTCCCATCACCATCACCAAGGTCCCAGACTTATCTGCCTCTTTATCCCCAGCAGTTTCTTGCCTTCTCTCTTTGTACTTAAAGAGATGTCCATGTTTTTTTTTTTCTCTCAAGACCACTTGTGTTCTTATGCTTTCTATTTCCCATTATAAATTAAAAAAAAAAAACTTATTTGACCTCACACCCTCTGCTTCACTGCTGTGCTATTTCTCTGCTGTTTTTCATTGAGCAATTGCATACAAAGTCACTCACCTAGATGCTCTTCAATCATTGCCAATTTGTTGCCTTTTCATATAGTTCTACTGTCATAGTGTGGCAGCCATCATTTGCCACAATTTGAAATCAGTTCTCCATTTTTATCTCAAAATTTTTTTATTATTTCTTATTTCTTACACATGACAATAGTGGAGTGCATTACATCGATAATTTTTTTGCATTACAATTCTTTTTTTATATTTATTTTTTACTTGTAGATGACACAACGCAATGCCTTTATTTTTATGTGGTGCTAAGGATCGAACTTGGGTCCCGTCTGTGCGAGGCGAGCTCTCTACTGCTGAGCCACAATCCCAGCCCAGCATTACAATTTTTAATACACCTTTATACCACAATTTATCAAATCTCTGTTTGAATATATGGTGTGTTGACACCAAACTCACATCTTTTTTTTTAGGAGTATGTAACACAGCTCTCCTGTTTTGAAAAAGCTTTCCTTTTGGGATTTCCATGAAACCACTTTATCCTGAAACTACCTTCTACATTTTTTTCTCCTCTGACTGGCAACTTTTTCATTCCTCCACTCTCTCCCACTCTAAATGTTTGGTAGGGCCTCTATGGACTGTCCTTTTTTCTATGCTCTTCCTAACCTACATAATCCAGTTTCATATTTAGATGCATCATAATCTAGTTCAAAACATCTATACACTGAACAGCTCTCACTTTTGTTTCTTAAATCCTTATTTTTTGCTCTGAGCTGCAGACTCAGGTATTCAACCATCTTTTTGACCTCTCTTGGATGTCCAATAGGTATCCCAAGTTCAATCTATGCAAAGAGTTATTTCATATTTCTCTCAAACACGAAATGATTTCTCTATTATTTTCCACATCATAACTCAAGATATCTTTTACATAGTATTTCCAGCAGAAACATGCCATTGTTTCTTGATTCCCATTTTAGTTCATTTTCTTTAACCAATCTATCGGCATTTGTTGTTGATGGAAACATGCAGCATTTTTATGTCCTGTTAGATGTCGCACTCCTGTGCACAATCCTACTAGATGATCATCATTATATCTGCCAAAATATATCTCAAAATTCATTTCTCAACTACCTTTACTACCACCATAATTATTCATTTGGACTCCTGCTGTAGCTTCCCAGCTGGTCCTGCTGTTTTCCTTCATGTCATTTTCTATGTAATTGTCAGCATTATATTTTAAAAAATAGATATCGCATTATGCTGCTTCCCTGATTCAATGTTTTAGTGGATTTTACAAACTCCTTCTAAACTCCTGTATGACCTGGCCCCTTTCTATTGGTCAGACCGAACTTGATCACTGTCCCTTTCCTGGTATCTTTCAAGTTTCTTCCCATTTTCTCCCTGCTTTCCCTTTCTATCTAAAGAATTCTCTCCCTGGACAACACGTGTGGGTATCTCTTCTTCAGATGTAAGCCCATGAATCACTTCTAAGAGGTGATTCCTACCCAACCAATCAAAAGTAGCACCTCTTTGTCCCCATAGGCCTCCCTATAGCAGAACAGCGATTTGCTTTTAGTAATTAGCACTGTCTTTTGTTAATGTATACACTGCAGATCCTTTTACTTGTTTACTTGAACATCTTCTGTCATTGTGTATGATCCAAAATGATAGGGATGTTATCTTGTTTGCTTCCTCTACCTTAACTCCTAGGTAAGTGTTTAAGATAGATGCTTGTCTAATATTTATTGAATCAAATATTTTCTCAGTGGATAAATGATGTGGTGAAATGGTCATAGAAGTATTATTGTCTCTTTTTATCATTTAGACTTACCAGAGTCAATCACTTTTTCAATGATATATTACTGATCCATGACTGATTCAGATCGTAGGAAGACAAGGACTGTTTCTACTGGGTTGTGGTGAATGATGCAATTTTGTGAATGGTTAAGGGAAATCATGTTAAGAACTTTCAGAACCATCCCACTATTTGTTTTGTGTGGTCAATGAATAGAGAACAAAGATCAGAAAAATTAGTCCTTTGGACCCATGATATCCTGAAGAGAAACATAACACCTAGTTTTTAGGCATGAATGTGCAGCTGGCTTATATTAGGCAGAGAATCCTTTAGCTGTGGCAAGGGGGGAAACAACCAAATGGAGGGTGTAGGAGGAGGTTAGCCAGATAGCTGCATAAGATAAGTGACAACTGCCTATGCCCTGAAGTTGTGTGGCAGAAACAGAAAGGACAATGCCATTTAGGGCCAGGACTGGGAGTCTAGAGAACTTAAGAAAACATGGCAGGTACTCAAGAGAGAAAATTAGTTTTGATAAGCAAGGGCAATCCAGAAAAGTGTAAATCCAAGCAGTAAATTAGAGTTTGGAGCCAAAATTTCCTTGAAGTTGGTCACTGTCCCTTCAATTTCCTTGAAGGTGTGATGGGGGATCGGGCAAAACTTGGTCTGGTACCACAGATTATTGATTTAGAAAATTAAGTGAATCAAATAATTTTAAATACCAACTGAAGTCAGTGTAAGTTAAATAAATCTAATTGCAGCAGCAATGAAAAATAGAGCTCAGATCTTAAATCCTTTGGCAGAGGGATTTTTGCCTATTTTCATAGCCTTGATGTGCATAGGAAGGCAGATCATGTCTTAGGTGTAAAGACATCCAGACAGATTATAGAAGGGCCATAAAATTATCCCTAATGGTCACAGTATTAAGAGAAAATATAGCTAATGATATTGGATATATCAATAAATTATTTTTTACTTTAAATGAATGTCATATTTGTAGCAAGTTTACCTATTATTTCTTATTTGCCACAGTATGGCTGGGCACAATTCAGGAGCCACTTATCAAACAGAAACCAACTTTATTTTTAGAACACACCACAAACCACACTAGCTCTTCAGGAACTTCCTCAGAGCCCAACTGCCACCACTGGCTGTCCTCAAGCCTCTAAACCCGCCCCCCCTCCTGCTCTTGAGGCTGATTGACTGGGTCGTGTGGGTGGAGCCAAAAAAGTCCCCCAATGAGCAGCTCCGTGGTCTGAAAGGGTGGGGAAACAGCCCAATGAGCATCACCGCAGAGTAGCCAATCAGCTGGCAGCTAGAAGTTTGCTGGGGCCGCTGTGAGCCAATCATCAGCTGCCAGCTGGAAGTTTGCTGGGGCCACTGTGAGCCAATCATCAGCTGGCAGCTGGAAGTTTGCTGGGGTCCCTTCAGCTGTGGCTCTCAACACTTATTTATTCTTTTGTTTTAGTAACTGCTTTTGTGCAGCAAAACCAGAACTGATTGGGAGTCACCTGTCCTCATCTCACCACCAATAATTGTTTCAGGTGATTTTGACTGTACAACAGACTTCTATAGAAACAATTTTTCAAAATTACAGGTATAAATTTCTTCAGAAAGTCATGCAGAAACTCACATAAAACCACAGATTTTCTCTTTGCAAAAGTCCCTCTTTCCTTCTCCTTGTTGTCCTAAAGCAGATCCTTAACTATTTCACCTGGGATGGTTAAATTCACATCCCAACCTTGGGTAGGTTGTGGTTCCCAGTTGTGTAGTCACATACAAGCATAAGGGGTGCTGTTAAGGTATTTGGTATATGTAATTAATATTTATAATCATTTGACTTTAAAAAATTTTGGCAATCAAAATAGTAATCATTTATTTAGAAAAGAATCATCAATGAACACTAATGCAAGCAGGTAAAAGTTTGTTGAAGAATAAGATATTGTCATTGTCTCATAGTATTTTGCCACAAAAAAACTGTTGTTACAAAGAGAAAAATAGTAACTTTATAGGGATCAAAGTTAATATAACCAGTAATGGGGCAAACTGACAAGAATGTACCTCCTGATAAAATACAGTGAGAAGAACACAGTTTGTAGTTCCCTGACAAAGACCCATGATTTGGATCCATTAGGCAAACACAAGTTGAAATGAAAGACTTCTTACTGGATAATTTTCTATACTCTTTTATTGTTCCAGGTCAAAGAAGATGAGGAAAGACCAAGGACTTATTGAGATGTGACATCTATTTGCAATTCTGGACTAGAAATTTTATAATCAATTGACTTTAAATGCAGTGGATTACCCTTCATTATGTTGGTGGATCTCATCCAATCAGTTGAAGGCTTTAATATCAAAAACTGAGGTTTACTAGAGCATAAAGAATTGTGCCTCAAGACTATACTATAGATATTCTGCTTGCATTTTGTTTGCTTTTATGTCACATTTCTGATTTGCGATATATGTGTGTGTGTGTGTATGTATATGTACATATCTGTATTTATGGCATATACATATAAATATACATGTTATGTATTTATATGCATATTTATACATATGTTTATATATATATACACATCTTTAAACATATTATAAGAATCAAGGGTTTATTTGTATGTGTGTGTGTGAGATACCCTATACCTAGATTCTCTCTCTCTCTCACACACACACACACCTTGACTCATATAATATCCTTGTTTGAATCTTATGAGGCACCTGTGTTATCAATTTTTATTTCAGGTATAAATAATCACAGATTCTAGAAGGATAAATGTTTTCTTTGTTGTTTTTAATCATTTTTTTTTAGTGTATAACCTGTTTTTAACCCATTGATGCAATAGTAAAATAGGTTATCTCCTTTGTGGAAGAGTCTACAGTAAATTTTTGATAATTTCTGTGATTATATCTAACAACATTGTCTAAATTGTGTCCACAAGCTTGCATTTACTTTTTCTTTTCTTATATCCCAGTTATCCAAAGTAATCCACACTAAACTAATTTAAAGAATAACAGATCTCTCCAGGGATCCAGATACAGGTACAATATAATAAATCATGCATCTACTGGACTTTCGATTTTAATGGCCAGCTTACAAACTTTTACTGTATATGGTTTTCATGACTTTTAAAAACTCTACTTTTGCTTTATTTTGCCACACACATAAAGCAAGATTTTTTTCTTTTGCAAATTTCCTTCACTGTTGTGACGTTTGACTGTCTGAAAAAGAATATCATCTGAAAATAAGCAATGTACTATATGTTGCTTCATCCTGATTATTTATAAAATTTTGGTCTCCTGTGGACCCAGTCATTTAGACTTCACTCTCTGGAGGAACAACTATTTTCTTCAAAAAAAGATTTTTAAAAATTTTATTCTTTTTAGTTATCCATGACAGTAGAATATATTTTGAGATATTTATGGAAACATGGAGTATAACTTATTCTAATTAGGGTCCTGGACTTGTGGCTGTACATGATATGGAGATTTACTGTGGTGTATTCATATGTGTACATAGGAAAGTTATGTCAGATACATTATTTTCTCTACATTACTACCTCTTTAAAACTTAATTCTCAGTCTATGATAAAAACCAACCATGTCTTTTAAATATCTGGTGTTCTGAAATTATTGGTATATTTTTATACCAATTATAAAATTATATTCAAAATTGTATTCAATTTTATAATCATTTTTTGAGCACCTTCAAATGCTAATTACCCAGCTAACCATTGAGTATACGCAAATAAATAAAAACTTATGACAAGATTAAAGTCTAGTTTTAAAGGAATTTTAGAACTAGATTAATCATATCTATTTGTTTTTAATATGCTTATTTTCTGTTCCAAAGTAGTCATACCTGATATCTTGTGATATTATTTTCCTTTCAAGATTATGCCTGCTTCAGCATAGACTGGATTTACATTTATTATGAATCCAATCAGCTTTCCTAGAATGAAAGTAAGATTCATTGGCCTGTGGTTCCTTAGTAGCTTCAGAGATTCTTACAGAGCTATCATTAGTGTTTCATTGGGCTTCCTGCATAACAAATAGTCTGATTTATCAAGCAAGTAAGCTGATGATTTTTCAAGGGCATAAAGAAGATACTTGGATTCTCAAATCTGGAAAAGCTATTAGTTCAGACAAGTGTTTACTGGTGGGTTAATATTATAAAAGTCAAACAGAGGAGTTCACAAAGGAGGATACAGACAGTGGGTGTTTGTAGGGTAAATACGATTTTAAAAGGTATAATTAAAAGCAGGGAATATCTAACTCTGAGAGCATGAGCTAAGGCAGGGAGAAAGTGTGGTCAGTAGATAAAGGATTTGGAGAAATAAATAACTTTTAAATATTGAAGGATTTTTTAAAGAAAGCATTAAGTAGCTTTAAGATATATAATACGACATAATAGAGTATCTAAGTTCAATTCACATGTATATGATTACATATGGGTAATATACATATGCATATAACATATTTACAAAGAAGAATTCACTAATAGTTACAGTGATTTTGACCCTAACATTTAAATAATGAATTAAGGTAAGAAAATGATAAAAGCTTGAACAAAGTTTTGTATACTAATATTAAAAAAATAAAAACCAGGAACACACAGAAGGGAGACTACTAGAGAAAATGCATTGGGATTGAATGAACATAACTGAAGCATAGTGGGATAATTCTTGTAATGAACATCAGATTAATAGGTATATTCTGCATGGGAGAGAATATAAGGAAAGAAGGGTGGAAATTTGAGCTAAAACCATTTGCTAAGTAGTTAGGAGTCCTTTAGAAATATGCATAGGGAAAAATAATTTGAATAAGTCCTATAAGTAAAGAAAGTCTTACTAAGATATCCTTATATTGTTTAATTTGTATATTAGTTTTTGGACTATTTTTCCTAAGAGCACTTTTATTGCTTTCCTGCTATTCCTCAGGGCTCTAGAAAGTGGTAGGTGCAAGAGTCAAGACCATTGATTATTTTTTACTATTTGAAGAGAGGCACATAATGGAAAAATGGAAAAATTCTGAGAATATTTCCAGAATCATTTTCAATATGTGTCCCACTTTGTGTTAATTAGATTGGGAGTGAGCTGCTTCAGCCACTTGTCTCTTAAATACAGGAATCAGCAGATTGGTCTCTCCAGATTCTTTAATTTACCTTATTGTTCAGACTTTCCGCCTGCCTCAGAGTTCATGCACTCGGAGGTATCCCTAGCTTTAAATTTTTCCTTTTAAAATCTGATTCACCCTATGAACACCCACTGTCTGTACCCTCCCTGTGAACTTTTCTGTAACCTACATATTCCCTGACCATACTGATTCCTCTTTCTTCTCTGATCTCATAGAATTAATGTCTGAATTACTCATCAGTTGTTAATCTGGTTCTTAGAAGCAGCATGCTAAGGAAGTAGTTTGGGGACCAAGAATGGAAGCTGACTATAAAATATGGAAATAAAACTGAGTGACCAAGCAGAAGTGAAAAAGGCGGAGAGAGGAGAGTAGAGGAAGGGAGGAGAGGAAAGGGGTAAGGAGGACAGAAGTAAGGCAGGATATTTAATATATATTTAAACAACTATGATTAGCATAATTTGAAGGAGGATGTCAATGTAACTGTCAAAAGTTCAACTAAGAAATGCTTTAAACTGTTATTTTTTAGTGAGTTTTCATATATAATTTTTACTGCCATGAAGCACGCTACACCAGCAGTCTACTTAATAGACATTCTGTAAATCTCTTTTTTTTGATGAATGAATTAATAAATGTATTCAACCCATCTCTTTATCAATAATTCTTATCATTCAGGATAAGTGAATCCAAGAGTAATTTAATTATCTTTGGAAGACTAAGTTTTAAATTTTGCTCATTTAGGGGAGAATTTTGATAGAATAATGAACACTAGAGCTTGAATAAAATCTCATCCAATACCTTCACTCTACAAAAAAAGGCTTTAGGACTAGAGATGAGCAATTTATAAAAGTATACTGGGTAAGTCCAACTATCATCCCCACCCCCAATACTAGAGATTGAACCCTGGGCACTCTACTACTGAGCTACAGCCCCAGACCTTAAAATGTTTTTTAGATTTTTTTTGGCAGGGGAGGGGAGACAGACTCTAAGTTTTCTAGGCTGAACTTTAATTTGGGATCCTTCTATCTCATCTTCCCAATTAATTGGGATTATAGGCATGTGTAATTACACCTAGCTCAAGTAAATTCTAAATGGTAATATCTTTCAATGATAATTTAATCTAATGAAGAATGAGGGAACGATTCTTATTTTTAATACAAATCAATAAATAGTCATTAAATAGTTGTGTGGTGTATAAACAGGCATTGTGCTAGGTACTTGGATGTGAAAAGACAAGAAACCTACCACCAGATATTTTATTTTCTAATTCCTAAGCAAGACCATGATGGGTCAATCAGAGATTGGAATATGAGGTTAGGTACTTCTGGATGTTTTCATTTCAGCCATTGGTTATTCAGCCATGATTTTCTGTCTCTCCTAGAGATTCTATAAATGACTGGGGGCCACAGAGTGTTGTAGGGACAAATGAGGCAAGGCACCGAAGATAACAGGAAACAGTTTTATTTGGCTGCAGCCAGGTTCAGAGGGCACAACTTTTGCTGTAATCAGTTAATCCTCTGAACCCTGAGTTCAGATAGTTTCAGAACTTTATACCCAGCATGTAAAGGGGAGGGGCTCAGAAGTTCACAGTCTGCAGAAGTTCAGATAAAAGCATCTTTTTTTTTTTTTCCTTTCACTATTTTAGGCAAGTTAATCCTTCAAGGACAACATCTGAGAAGGGGGGAGAGCTTCTTCTCCCCTTTCTTTCCTCCCCCTGCCAGCTGTTACCATGGAGCCCAATTGGTAACTTATCTTAAAAATGTAGACATCTCTGTGAAGCCAGCTCAAGGCCAGAGGTCTTGTTTGCACATTTCTACAAACTACTATACTAGATATGTTTGTGAAAAACTAGTAAGGGGGTATGCAGCACCTGGAGTGCTGATTTCTTCCAGTGGCCAAGTAAGATAGGGCAACATGAAAATAGGAAGTTTATCTACATTGAACTCTTTTGCATAGACTCTTTTTCTGACATGCACAAAAGTTAACTCAAAATGGATCAAGGAGCTTGATATCAAATCAGAGACACGGCATCTGATAGAAGAGAAAGTTGGCTATGACCTACATGCTGTGGGGTCGGGCTCCAAATTCCTCAATAGGACACCCATAGCACAAGAGTTAACATCTAGAATCAACA